AAAAAAAAGTATTTTTTCTTTTTTTGAGACAGAGCCTTAAGCTGTTGCCCTGGGTAGAGTGCCTTGGCCTCACAGCTCACAGCAACCTCCAACTCCTGGGCTCAAGTGAGTCTCCTGTCTCTGCCTACCAAGTAGCTGGGACCACAGGCAACCACCACAATACCTGGCTTTTTGGTTGCAGTACGTAGCTGGCACCTCAGCCGCTTGAGCCACAGGCACCGAGGCAAAAAAAAGTATTTTTAAGAAATGAAGTTGAGGGGTGGTGCCTCTGGCTCAGTTGGTAAGGTGCTGGCCCCATATACTGAGAGTGGCGGGTTCAAACCCGGCCCCAGCCAAACTGCAACAAAAAATAGCCAGGTGTGGTGGACACCTGTGGTCCTAGCTACTTGGGAGGCAACACTGATTGCTTTTTGAGAACCTGGGGATTGAGGGAGAGAAGTGGGAGGGAAACTTTTCTCTGCATACTCATAATTTTTGAATACTATACCGTGTAACAAAGTCCATCAGATAAAGACTACTGGAAATTCGCCTGTAGTCAAACAAAGTTAGGTTTATTAGCTTGCTGCTAACAGTAGGAGGGAAAAGGTAGGGGGCTTTTATAGGATTTGGGCTTCTGCTGACTGAGAGTCTAGGGCAGTGATTCTTAACCTTCCTAATGCCACTACCCTTTAATACAGTTCCTCATGTTGTGGTGACCCCCAACCATAAAATTATTTTCATTGCTACTTATGGTTGGGGGGGTCACCACAACATGAGGAACTGTATCAAAGGATCGCAGCATTAGGAGGTTGAGAGCCACTGGTCTAGAGGAAACAAGGATTAGCTCTGGATTGGGTATCTCAGCAATCTTTTCAGAGGCATGAGGAACAAAGCGGTTGGAGTCACTGACAAAAAAAAAAAAAAAAAAAAAGGTAATGATGAAAAGAAGGTTGTTTTACAGGTGTAGTATGGCCTTGGGAAAAACATCGTTTTCCAATGATCTTGTCACTGGCCCTATGTCTATTAAGTACACCACAGACTGATTATAATCTGCACTTATCTTTACTTCCTAGGTCCTATAAACTTTTTGTTTTCTGACACCAGAATGTGTTATCTACTCAAAAACCGAAACAGATTTTAAAGTAATTAAGATGAAACCAAACCTCCATGAACTTTCTGAACCAAGATTTCCGGTTCCCTCACAAATAGGAGATATACCTGATGGACAAGAAAGTCAAATTTGTTCTTGAGTAGTCCTACTCTTTGCAAAAACCAAATGTTTAGAAATAACCATTTTCAGAAAAAGATGATGGAACGGTACCCCAACTTGGCAGTAGCTGATGTCAGGGAGACAAGAACATACAGGTAGCACCCAGGGTGACAATTTCCAGACAGAGACTTAAGAGTACTTGGCTCTTGCAACTGTTTTTTTTCTCCCCCAATTTTTGTTGTTCTTCCCTGGGAAGCTAACTCTAAGAGAGAACAAGGCAAAACCATGGGTTGCCCTCAATACACTTCAAGTAAGGATCTGTAGTAGAGCAATGGTCAGCGCCCAAAAACTTGGGCAAGTCACTTGCCTTTCTAGTATCAAGAAAACAGAAAGGCTGGAGCAGATGATATTTGAAATCTTGTTTACAGTCTGTGAGAGACCCACAGTCACAATCTCCCACCCCACCCGCAACGTTGCTGTTATGCTCATGGAAAATTGTCCTCCAATTCTTCCGCCAGAGGCAACACTTAGTTAGCAGTTTATTTTTCCAGCTATTTTCT